AGGACAGCTTACACGTTTTATTCAACAACTGCTCCATGTAAAATAGAAGCTTTGAGCCCTGAACTCCTCTCTTCAGTAACCAAGGTTCAGCAGAGAGTGGAAGAGGTGACCCCACAACTCCCCTGACCTGAACATTTTATATCCTGATGGCCAGAGTCTCTCCTTGAAGGTGGGAGATGTAGCAAAGAAAGAAACTGAACATGAATCTCCCAATTGTTGGCGGAGTGCTCTAATCACTGGGCTGATGTCTAAAAGGGGGTGTTACATTCAACCACTCCTTGAAAAAGAAGCAGTTGCACCATATTTTGCAGGTGAATTAAATAATTTCCCCATCCCATTGCTCTGAGCAGCTTTTAAGCACTCTCTCTGCAATGACATTGAGCATTGTCCTTGGCTAAACTTGCAGTTAAACCCTGTTCAGCATCACATCAACTGCACCTGTAATTTCTGTAGCACAGACAAGGCTTAAGCAAACTGTGCTCTAGAGACTTAGAGCTGGCTAAAAGCAAAAGCAGGATAGCCATAAGAGGTTGCTTTTTGACAAGCTCAAAAAATTGGCTGTACAGGGCAACCCTTATTTAGTTAAATTCTATAGTAACCAGACCAAAGAAAGAAAAACTTTTTGACCCTGTAGTTTAACCTCTAAAACCCCTGTAGCAAGATCCAAGACCTACATGCTCTTTAAGGGTGATGGTTTCTGAAAGCATATCAGGAGTTTGACTAGGTATGAGTCTGTGTGGCACTATCGAGTATCTCACTTTAAAATTCTGCCTCAAAGTTGGCTGCAGCTGGGGTCAGTAATGCATCTTTATTACTTTAATAAAAAAACCCACTGAATTGCTGTTCTTACCAGTTACTTTTTCTGCACATAAAAGTAGATGTAGTGATGAATATAGAAATGGTCAGGTTAAGAATTATCACTAGATTTTTTGAACTGGATGTCTTTAGATCCCATACTTAACAAAAGAAGTTTAATTTAAATATGAGCAGAGCAGAACCATTTTCAATGACATAAGGCAAATTTCTTTCTATTTTCTGGCTAAAATCAAGTTCCATAAATCTTCCTCTTATGAAAGCTAATCTACCAGTCAGCATCCACTTCAGCTATCAATAAAAAGAAAATTGATCCCGTGCTTTTCAACACAGTAACTGGGTGAATCTACACAAAATGCCTTACTGCGCATTAGACTAATCTAATGCACAGTAAAGCATCATCATCTACACAGGCGAGGCAATTACTGTGCATTCATAGATTCATAGATGTTAGGGGCTGGAAGAGACCTCACGAGATCATCACCAGCCCCCCTGCACTTGGGCAGGAAGGACTGCTGGGGTCAGATGACCCCAGCAAGGTGGTGGGTCAAGTCATTTTTAAAGATTGCCAGGGTTATATCACCTCTGGGGGGAGCCTAGACACTCGAATTGTAAAGAAGTTTCTTTTTAAGTCCAGTCTGAAGCAATCTTCAAGCAGGAAGCTGAAAGACATGGGGCTGTTGAGCCTAGAGAAAAGAAGACTCAGAGGGCAGCCTATAATAGTTTAGTCTAATATACCATTTTCTAGTACTGGTAGATACAGGTACTAGAAAAATGGCACATTAACTAATGCACCATACCACGTGTGTAGACACTGACCGGGAGCAAATTTCTCCCAGTCAGCCCAAGCAGCGGTGGTGGGGGGGGGGCACACTTCTGCCTGGCTAAGCCCAGATCTCTGTGGGGCGGTGGAGAGCTGTCCTGGCTCTGCTGGGAGCTCCCTCCTGGCTAGGGGGAGATTGGGCTGGCCCCAAGTCTTGGGGGGGAACAGGGAGAGCTGTCCCAGCTGGGTGGGCAGCTCTGTCCCAGCGGGGGAAAGATCAGGTTGGCCCCACGCCTGAGACAGGGGCAGCTCCCCTCAACCCAGGATAACTCCCCCCATGCCCTCTTGGGGCTCAGGGCCAGCCCTATCTCTCTCCAGCTGGGACAGAGCTGCCCATCCAGCTGAGACAGCTCCCCCTGCCCTCCACAATTTGGGTATAAACCTCTATGCTTCCTGTCAGCCTGGGGATGGCACCTGTGGAAGTCTGGAGCTCCCCCTGGCTGCTACAGGGGGGCAGAGCAGAGCAGGAGCAACCCTGGGCTGGGCTGCTCCTATAGGGCTCAATTTGCTCCCATGTGTCAGGGAGCACTTTAATGAGCCTAAATTTTCTGCACAGAAAATTCGGGCACATTAATTGTACATGTAGATGCACCCACTGGGAGCATAAATGCAGTGTTAGTTGCCCAAGCCATGAAATGAAGCGTGTTCTACTATGAAAGTTGGAACTTTCTCAGAAAAGCTATGCATAATTTACACCTGCCCTCATCCCCCCTAGTTTAGGAGTGAATCCAAATCCTTGTTGATACCTAGTTGGTAGGGCTGTGTGAAGCTTTGGGTGCTGATTCGATTCAGAGGGGATTTGGCCAAATCTCTGAATCAGAATTGAATCAGGAGACCACTAAAAAGGTCTGACATGATTCGAAGCTCTCTGAGTTGATTCAGAAAAGATTCAGAGAGAGCTTCAGAGATTCGGGCAGTCCCCACTTACCGCCTCAGGGAGCTGGACCAGGACTCCATGCCAGTAAATGGGGGCTAGCCTGGTAGAGAGGGGAGGGGACCATGGGGGGATCCCTGCCAGGCTCCATCCCCTGCCTGCTAGGAGCGAGTGAGTGCAGGGCTTTTTTGTTGTTGTTTTTTTTTTTAAGAGCC